AACGACGCTCTGAAAATCCGGTTTTTCTAACAATTTCTGTGGTTTGATTTTGCAATAGATTCTGTAGCAACTTGACATGGTGATGACAACCTCTCCCACACGCTTTGATCGCCAGAAAACTTCTCAATCGGTTTCCTGCTTCGAAATTTTCTTGCTCGTCAAAACAAGATTTTTTTTTATTACTTGATGTCATAATTGTTGTTTGAGGACCACCCTGTATATAAAAATAGTTTGATCATGCATCATTTCAAGATTTTTGACCACCATTCGAACCAGATTGACAGGAACACAAAGCCAATAGAAATTAGAACATCAAATTATGCATTATCTTAATAAAACATTCATATTTCAGTAACGCGTGTGACAATTCCAAAAATGTTATCACAGTGTCGAGAGAACATATGATGCAATATGTTTTTGACTCCAAAAAAATAGAATAATTTTTCTTTCGTTTAAAATTTTTGGAAAAATGCACAGCTTTGATTATCATCCTGTAGAATCTCATCCGTAGGTTCTATAGTCAATGGAACGAGCTTTCAGAAAGTGAGGAAAATTTGAAAATCAGTTGAGGAAATCGAAAGTTATGGTGATTTAAATTTGACAAAAAAAAAATGCGATTTTAGGTTTTATGTGTTGAGCAGTTTGTTATAACCTGGAGTACTTGGTATAACAGACTGCCTTGTCTCCATATACAAAAAAGTATTGTGAAGTAATTAGAAGGGAAAACAGACTATTGAATATTTGGTGGAGGAACATTTTGCAATTTTGGTGGCGGATCGTCATTCACCATTTTATTCGAGAAAAAACTCGGTCATACTGCAGATCCTTTTTTTATCTCTTGGAGCGCACGAAACGAAATTCCTATAACGTTCGAAGAACAACGTGCATACCAAGGGAAGATAGGGAGAGGAGGTAGGTGTTGAAGTTTTTTGTAACTCTTGGAGGTTATAAGTTCTTGGGAAGAATTCCAAAGCTTTGCCTTTCTATAAGAAATGAGTTTTGGTGAAGTGTTGTTCGACATATTTCAAGGTTGACAGCGAATGTATGTGCTGACTGGGCCTGTCGAGTTCGTCCTACTGGTATTGCTAGTGATGAAATTATAGCAGAGAGTTCTAAGGACCGTTTTTCGTGGAAGTACATATCTATAGAAAAGTGAAAGGTAGCTGACCTTTCTACTTCTGATCAGGTTGATGAAATAAAAATATCATTCAACTACGAAATAACCAAAATGCCCAAAGTGGAATGAAATGTTAAATGAATACATAAAGCTCAAAGTCATTTCCACATAATGTTCATAAAATGCACAACAATGGTAGATTTCGGGAGAAAAACAACTATTTTCCTGGCTATAATGCCACGCAGAACATTGAATTACATCCTACCGAAATCTATGTATCGACTCGTTTAAACGAATACTGATACAAGTGATTCTTTCCTGAGTGCCTATTGATTTCGATTTAGCCAGGCTACGCTAGACACCCCCGGACCGGTTTCGAGCTCTTTGACTCTCTCATCAGTGCAGGGCAGTCTCCAGCCATCAGTCCTAAGACCGCCGACTAACTGTAGCCTAGTCAAACAAAAATCAAGTCGACATTATAGTCCCCTAGAGGCGTCTGTCATAGACAATATGAAAGCAACGCCATCCGAGTAGAACAGAAGGAGAGAATCACTCCAAAACTGAAATTTCCATACGGGAGTGGCTGGTTGCCCAACTGGCGTAATTTCAACTACGAAATAGCCACAATGCTCAAAGTGGAATGAAATGTTGAATAAATACAAGAAGCTCAAAGTCATTTCCACACAATTTTTATAAAATGAACAACGATGGTACACGGGAAAAAAAGATTGGTTGCATCAACCAATTATTCATGCTTGAATTATTTTTGTTGGACTGAGCAATTTTTTGTTGAATCAACCAGATACATGATTATTTCATGGAAGCAGCTTGTTCAATTCAAGAATGTATATAGTCTTATTGAATCAACAGTGTAATATCAACTCCATCAAAAAAATATATGGTTTTCTCAAGAACAAATTATGTCGATCCAAAATAATGTCGATATTGATTCAACTATAAACATTTTGTTGATTTGATGGAATAATGATCATTTTGATGAGAATATATCTTTGAAACAACATACAAGTTTTCTTATTCCGATGTAGCAATGAACTCGTTTCGAAAGGATAATTTGCTTGAATAGAGCATCAAAATATGTAATATCAATGAGATTATTTGTTCATTCTACATCGAGTTACATTTTCGCCCTAGATGGTGATCATTTCGCCTCTTCTATGTATGCCTCGAATTAGTTATATACGTGAGGCCGGATTCTTTGTCTTTGAAATATCAGCTGGATAAATCGAACTTAGGATGATTAGCAATCCGAAATAGTTTTGCATCAGGAAAGAAAAGACTGTAGATCAATGCTAGAAGTCGACAAGTTTCCATTCTTTTGATGTGAAATTTCAGAAAACTCCCGAATCAATACTGAATTTGATTCTACAAAACAATTCGTCGAATGAAAATACAATTTCTCTTGAATCAACGAAATATTTCATCGAATCAACAAAATATTCCATTGAATTAACCAAATATTTCATTGAATTAACTGAATATTTCATTGAATCAATCAAATGATTCATTGAATCAACCAAATTTTTATTTGAATTAACCAAATATTTCATTGAATCAACTAAATATTTGAGTGAATCAATATCTTGTTATTTTGAATCGAAGAAAATGATTGTTTGAGCCAATTCAATATCTTTTCATGAATAATTCATGAATGTGCTTGATTGAATAAGATCCAGAGTTCATTCAAGACATATTTACTCAATTCAAACTTCAAATTCGCTCTGAAACAAGATATAGATCTACTCATTTCAAGATAATATTTTGTCGTGCATATTCGACACTTTTATTTGCTTCATTCAATCAAATTCTGCTTGATTCAACAATTCCTTTTTTCCAGTGCAGATTTCGGGAGAAATGTAATGTAATTCAATGTTCTGCAAGGCATTAGCCAGAGGGAATTAAGTAGTTGTTTTTCTCCCGAAATCTACCATTGTTGTTCATCTTATGAACATTGTGTGGAAATGACTTTGAGCGTTTTGTATTCATTTGAAAATGTTATTGTCATCGCATTTTGATAAGTGTGCGAAGTTTCAATAAATTGGACGTTTTAAAGTGGGTGGGTCAGAATCACGTTCGTAGATTACGCGTTGCATACAATCATACATTTTAAGCTGATAAGAGCGTTTAAAAGGACTATTTTCGAATATATTATGAATATGAAAAAATTTATAAATACCTATATACAAGGTGTTCTTGAAATGAGTGCACATATTCAGCACATTAATATGAAACAGCCAAAGAAATATTCCCATGATATCAGATTTTTTCTAATTCTTCTAATTAACGAGAAATTTCATCCCAAAAATTGAACAAAATACAAGAAAAAAATCAAGTATACCACTTTGAAACAATTTGAATGATTGAACTCCGCGTGATTGTGCCTACCACATGGAAATTTGAACAGAGGTGACGTCAGATTTGCAACAGTGTAGAACTTTGGGAGGAAGAAGGGGTCTAACCTCAAATTCCATTTCGATCCCTTAATTTGTTTTATTAGCGCCATTCGATAGTACACGTCGAGCTTTGTCAGTGTTTGAAATATTTGCACTTATTTCAATGCCACCCTGTATATACAGAAATACATTGAGAATTCGCTTCCTCTTTGTTATGAATAAATCAACTCTTTATCGGTATATTCAACAGAAATTAACTATTTTCCTGGCTATTTGCCATGTCGAACATTGAATTATATCTGTTGAACATTGAAAAAGCTAACATGAAAATTAAAATCCTCTGAAATTGAGAATTAATTATCTTTCAAATCGGACAAATAATATGATTATGATATAAAAATACCATTTATCCGATTTGAAGGAGAATGTGAATTAGCAGTTTCAGAGGATGTTTATTTTCATGTTCTATTTTTAATGTTCAACAGATATAATTCAATTTTCGACGTGGCAAATAATCAGGAAAGTAGTTGTTGTCTGTTGAATATTCAGAATGATGTTCTGTGCATTGGTTTCATTTTCAGATTTTCACATTGAGTTCAATGTTTGTCATACACCCAAATAATACAAACGTGTTGAAGAGCAGTCACTCTTATCATCGGATTGGAGTGACTGAATTTCACCCTTACATATCTTTTTTTTGTGTACCCTCGATGTTCTGATTATTTAGTGATTCGGACAATCTCAATGAAGATATATTATTATTGAAAAGGAGTATTCAAAGATAAATTATGAACAATAAAAATTTTAAAAAGTGGATATACATATAAAGAAATACATTGATAATTCGCATTCTCTATGTGATAAAAATAGCAATTCTGTCTTGGTTCATTCAACATAAAACAACTACTTTCCTGGCTTTATGCCACGACGAACATTGAATTATATCTATTGAACACACACGATAAGAATTTGAAAACTAAATCTTCTAGAGTTGAGAATTCGCATTTTCCTTCAGATAAAGATATGTATTTGCACATAACATCATTCTGAGTATTTAAAGGAACACAACTACTTTCCTGGCTATTTGCCACGTCGAACTTTGAATTATATCTGTTGAACATCCAAAAAGATTCAGTTTTCAAATTCCCATCGTGTGTGTTCCATAGATATAATTCAATGTTCGTCATGGCATATAACAAGGAAAATAGTCGTTTTCTGTTGAATAAATCGAGAAAGAATTGTTATTTTTATCACGTAGAGAATGCGATATGAATGTTTATTTCATCATATGTATATCCATTTTTCCATTTTTGCGATGTTCATAATTAATCTGAGAAAATCCCTTATCAATGCTTTCACCCAATCAAGGAGTACAAACTTGAACGATGGAAACTTATTATTTTTATAGATTTATTATATTCTCATAAAAACATTTCAGCCTCTTGCTACCAGCGTAAACCAGAACCAGAACCATGCGAAGACTAGGAGAAATCAGACTGCCCCCCTTATCAGCCACAGCCAACGTAGTCAACCAAATCTACCGGCAAATCCTGCCAGGCTCGACCAACGCCAACCACGACCAGCAGCACCAAGCAGAAAGGGTCCACTTCGCGCAGCTGCCCAACCAGAACCAGAACCATTCGGGCGACCAGAACCATTCTGGGGGCCACGTGGAACGCTTGGAGATGGGCAGCATGAAGGGGGGCACCAACCCGTTTCTGTCTGAGCCAGACGGGGGTGTGGTCCAGGGGTATCAGACGCAGCCTCAGACGCAGCCTCAGCAGCGTCGCATGTCCTCGATGGACTTTTCTGAGGGGTCGGATTTCGTGGAGGGGAAGAGTGAGGTTAAGATCAACGAGTACCAGGCGGCTTGGAATGTCACCAACGCGATACAGGTCATTCTGATTCACTTATAATACATACTATACTTTGCCTACGGCCATATACAGTGCATATGTTTTTCAAAATTCAAAACAGTTATTTTGTATTATTTTTGTTCTTGACAGTTGCTTTACAAAGAAGTGCACAAAAAATGGCCAGGGCTGTAACTATTTAATTATTCGAAATAGGGTTTTGAAAATTGGTGGGTAGCAATTATAATGGTTGTTTTGCACCCATGTCATGATAAAATGAATGTTTACGATAAAATAATTATGAAAAAATAGACTGATGTCCCTGTGGATCATCGTATAAGAGGAACAATTTTAGTTTTATTATTCCAAATGGGAAGATCATGTGATAGATACATGGTGAAAATAAAAGACAGATAGTTCTTGTACGAGTAGCTGAATTCGAGAAAATATGTTCCTATCTTAGATTCCTCAATATCATGAGTTATTTTCGAAGGTTTTTATCTTGACTCAAACAAGCTATTGACAACCTGCAGACATTGATCAGAATATCAAAACATTTTGAATAATATCGGTTTACTAATGATATTTGAATTTCAAAGCCTACCAAGTGTCGATATATCATCGAATTCATGTCACAGCCAACTTATTCTTTTTCAATAAAAAGCAATTCAACAGCGAATTGAGAAATGAATGCCACTTTGTGATACATGGTTGGATAGAGAATTTCAAGGCGAAAAAAATAGACTGAAGAAATGTACAGGGTGACATTTAAAACAAAAAGTTGGGGTCACTTCCGGTCAAACGGGTGGTTGAAAAAAATTGTCGTTAAGTTCGTAAAGTGCGCTACCATTTATTATATACCCCCTGTGAATTTCAAAATTTTATCTCTACAAATGAAAAAACTACAGGCTGCTACATGTCTCCTGTGTCACCCGGTATAGAGTGAATTATGAGATTAGGCAAAAACATCTTTTGGTGATAACTTTTCAACAGCTCTTTCGATTCGCCTGATTTTTTCATGGAATATTCCACTACTAAACCCTAACCCTGAAAAATTCCGATAGTTTAGTTCTTATCAAAAAGTGCATGCTGTACTTGGTTTTCGTGAACTGTTACAGGTAATTCTCCAAGCACACAAAGGAGCATCAAGAATATGATATTCAAAATTCTTCTCACACTTTCACAGAATTTTTCAAAAAACGATAAATCATGAGCTGAAACGAAAGTTTGACAACAAATTTCTTTCATTCAAAAATAATCACTTCACTCACGAATAAAAGTAAGATTCACATATTCAACGCTTTAGTCCAATGGAAATCAACATGTTCTTTTATTTCCAGGCCTGGATTTCGTCATTTCATTTTTTGTGGACGGAAATAATCACCCTGTAGATTTTTCTAATAACAGTGGATGGGATATCTGTTTAGATGTTGATGGTCATCGATTCAGAAAATACAAGATAGTCGAAAAAAAATAAAGGTTCACTCACAATTATTTTTCAAAAGCTATACTGACAAAGACGGATAATGCTAGTACGGAAAATAAGTGACCAAATTAACTGAATAAAACAAATCGAATAGATAAAACTGTGAATTGGAATCATAAAATTATTCATAGCGATGGCCATCAACGTTTCACATATACCTCATCCACTGATTCGAAAAAGACCTACTGGGTGATTCTTGTCGTCCACAAAAAAATCAATTACTAAATCCAGGCCTGAAAATAAAATAATATGTTGATTCCCATTGAGCTGAAGGATTGAAAATGTGAGTATCACTTTTATACGTGAAATTCATGGGTTGCGAAGTAATAATTTCCAAATAAATACAATTTTTGCCAAATTTTCGTTTTTTCATGAAAGCAATAGTTTTTTTCAAACTGCAATAAAAGTGTGAGGAAAATTTGAAATATTTCATTTTTGATGTTTGTTTGTGACCTTTGAAAATTCCCTGTCACAGTTTACAAAAACTATATACAGGATGAACTTTTTGCTACAAACCAAACTATGAAAATTTTTTTAAAACGTTCCTAGATTTTCCCGATTCTGAATAAGTCAGTCGATTAGAGAGTAGTAGCGAAATATTCCATGAAAAAGATGTTTCTGCCAAATCTCATAATTATTTACCCTATATATTGAAAAAAAGTTTAGAAGACACTTTCTGATGGACATTAGGTAATTCCCCTCAGGGGCCTCTATTCCTGGTAGGAGTATGTATGTACAGTTCCTCATGACTCACCCTGTATAATTCATATTCATTGCATTGTGATGTTGAATAAACCACATTCAACTCACTTAAGTATGGTAACGATACAAAGTACAGGATTTCACTTGTTCGAAAATGTTAGGTGTGAAATTTTCACTGGAATTTCTGTGTAACCCAATCAAACGATATCAATTAAGGCATATCCTTGCGAAAAATCTAGTAGTCGGTTTCAATGTTTTTTGGGGCGCTGAATCTGGATCTAGAATTATCAAAAAAATTTCCTGGTGCGTTTCGAGATTTTCCCGAAAAACTGCGGAAATTTTTGCACTTTTTTCAGCTTTACGCTTTTACAGGGTGATTCAGATATGAAGGCACAAACTTAAATGGGTGATAGATATAATCATTTTTATCAAAAAAGTTTATATAAACATGAGTCCGATATCGATCAGAAGCCGAGCTACAGGGGACTTTGCTCAATAATTTTTTTCTATTAATTAATATATCTCGCTTACTTTTGAAGATATCAAGTAGAAATTCAGTGTGGTCCATATTTTCTAAGAGATCATCATTTTAAGCATCTAATAGATTTCAAAAATCTACAGGGTGATACGTTTTTGGAGGTAGAAGCTTCCTTATCCCCCACAAAATTTTTCGTTGTACGTCTCTAACATCTTGCAGTTGAGAAATTCAATATATCGTTCAATTTCTAGGCTTTCTTGCTTTTAAATAGATGATGAAAAACCGATTACTGGATGTTTTGCAACGTAAAACTAGCAATTGCCTGTATTAGTTAGTAATCGTTAGTCAACTTGTCTGTTTGCGATTGACTGATGGTGGTTTGATATTTCAGGGCATGTTTATAGTTTCGTTGCCTTTTGCTGTACTGAGAGGTGGCTACTGGGCTATTGTGGCAATGGTCGGGATAGCGTACATCTGCTGCTATACCGGGAAAATTCTAGTTGACTGTTTGTACGAATTCGATCTGCAGACAGGGAAGCAGGTAAGTGACGATTACACACAATGAGATATATCATCGATAAACATACCACCCAGCGAGCACAAAAACATCTCAGAGATGTTAAAAGTACGAGATTTCGAGACATTGAACCTCCACTGCGATGTTCTGTTCACACATGAATAGAACTATTATAGAACAGCCAATGTCCGCCGCAGGCGGCAATTATCGAGATGTCCTTGATATGTCACAAAACTACCTTCTCCCTAGTTCTTCTTAGAGCCTTTTCATGGACACAACAAAACATTATCAACGCGTCTTGCGCACATTAATTCGCTGTAAAAAAACCATTTTCGAGGTACTTTTCTGAAGCCTTTAGTCAAAATGAACTTTTGCATTAGGATTCCATTTCCCTTGAATGAAAAAATGCATTAAAACTAGATTGAACATAATAGTATATTATGTAACAAGTGTTATAAACGTCCTTTTAGTAACGAGTATTTTAAGCACGAGCGGAGCAGAGCGGAGCGAGTGTTTGATAAACGAGTGTCTAGAAGAGTTTATAAATGCGTAACATACTATGCTTTTTCTACGAACTCCGAAAATTACATTAACATACCTGCTATTCCTGCTAACCTACAAAATAATTCGGAAAGAATGGGAATTACGAACATAATACTTGCAACTGCATGCAACCAGCGAGACACGTATAAGTGATATTGGTTGTAGATGTGTCCAGTCCATTGCTTACTAACCTTTTTCTACAAACGTCAAAAAATGACAAGGTTCGCGCATTGATAACAAATTGCGAAGTGACACTTTTTTTCAGTTTCCTACGTTACCATGATTCCTTGCACAAAACAATGCGCGAAGTAAAACAGTGCGCGAAGTACCTACTTCGCGCATTGTTATGTAAAATATATGAGATATTTATATTTCAACTTCATGATCCTCAATCGAGCAGACATCCACAAAGTCATTAATTTCTGAATGTTCAACAATAGCTTTGTTTCTTCTCTTGGAGCACACGAGGAAATTCCTATATTATGTTCGTGGAACATCGTGCGTACCTAGGGAGGATAGGGGGAGACCTTTTAAGCCAGTTCAACACTATTTTTTATATCGAGCTAAGCATATTTTCACTTAAGAACTATATTTTTTGACGTTTGTAGAAAAAATTTTGTTTGCAACTCGAGCGCGAAATACTTTGGTCATCTCGACTATTTTTTTAACTCGGCTACGCCTCGTTAAAAAAATCAGATCTCGATCACCAAAGTAGCATTTCGCGCTCTAGATACAAAAATAACTATTGTTTCACGTTAATTGTCATGCTTACCGCATAATAAATAAGAAGTTCTCAAAGATGGATGTTTCATTTTTACACTTCTTGGAGATATGCAAGTACCAAAACATTCTCTTCGATTTCAATTTTGTCTACATTTCGCATATTATATTTTTAATGAAGAATTCTGATACAAACGAAAATTGTTTGAATAATTCTGATACAAAATTCGGAAATGACAGTTGACAGTTCCTACAATTGATAGGCCAGACATGTCTCAAATTATACTGAAGCTGTGTTTAATGAACTGTGTTGCCATGGTAATGTGTTTAAGAAATCGTGTTGCCATGGTAACGTGTTTAATATTTTGAATAAATCACAGATCGTCAATCCGTGATTAATCGATCATTTAGCGTGGTACATATCCGTACGCTAAATGCCATTTTAGTTATGTGAGTAGAAAAAAATATTTTCTTGATATGAAATTACCTTCTTAATCGGTTTCTGAGTAGTGCTTACTAGGGTCCCTTGATGGAATTTGACGTTAAAGTCATCCTAACAGGGTACGGACAGATCATAGCTGCATTCTTTTTTAATGATCTAGAGATTTTAGTTTTGT